CAAAACTAATGCTATGAAGATAGCCATGAATCTTGCACTTAATACATTCAGCTGATGAACTCTCAGAGAGTTCATATGTTTTCTTAATATAAAACAAAGAGCATTCTGCACTTCCAAGGTACTTCTGAACTTTGGCCAATCAACTTTGCCTTTTAAGGAAATCAAGTAACATTCTTTTCTATAGGGAGGAACCCACAAAAATGTTCCATCTCAAAATAATTGACTTCTTCATAACTAATGTCTTAATTTAAAAAGCCACTTTGCACCCTGAATCTTGAGGTGTAAATTTGCACGTTTCTGATGTCTGAGGAGGAAACAACCCCTTTTAGCCAACCAATTTCCACACTCTCATGGTCCATAACCTCACTGGTATTTAATTGTAGACATGACTCTAAAACCAAACTCACCTACCATCCAGATTATTTGCCCAGAAACATGAACACAAGTCCTAATTTAGGCTCAAATTTGATGCCCTTCAGAAAGATAAAGAGCCCTTATGCATACTAAAGGCCTTTGCTCAGCCCCTCTTCTCAACCACACTTTCTAAAGTGACCGGAAATGGGTAAAAATAAGCGATGTCACACAAACCCATGAGAAGAACAATCTAAGTTCAATTCTTTGTGAAAATAGGATGGATATTTTTCACCAATGGATGTAGCTAGCAATGTAGGTAGAAACCATATGGATGTTGACCCACTCTTTACTTCGCAGTGAACATATCTCCATGTACCAACTACTAGAAAGTAAACCAAACTGCAAAATCAATGTCTCTTGACTGCTTTGCATGAGTCAATCATCCAATGTAAAAACGGAGTGCTTCACTAGCAGCTCTCCAAAAGTTGGAGAGCTTAGGCTAGGAAAGCTGAATTGTATGTTAATGATTTCATGTTTGTGGAATGAAATGGGAATGAGAACAATGAGCTAAAATTGAATGATAGCGAGATGTTTCGGGGGGATAGAATAAAATGCTTGACAATTTAGTCAAAATATTAGTATTTCTGATTAAGTATCTTTCAGGTTCCTGAAACGCTACAAATTATTTCTATTTCTTTGCAGGAAGATAAAGTTCTTGCCCCACATTTTAGGTCACAGTTCAACAAGATATTTGAGCATGTCAGTAACTTTATTCAGATGCTCAAAAGCATCAACTTGTTTTCCATTTGCTGAACCAGAACCTGCAAACACACGTGGATATGATGTTCCACTGAACTCAAATACAAAGTTATTTGCGTGAATTTTTGTTGGCAAGGTTGAGACTGCATAAGGAATGGTATTTAGTTCTTACAGTATATTTTTCTTAAAACAAATTTCTAAATGGTTTGCAGAGTGGGTTAGTATCATTCCCATCCTATGAAAACAGAGAAAAGCACGTGTTTCTAAGCAGATTATTGGCAGAGCCAGCATTATATCCCATTTTTTTCTGAACAGCAGAACAGTGAACTATCTGCAAGGTCATGCAACTTTCTTTTTATGCTTCAATAACTTTTCAGACTTACGACCCCTTTTTATGGTGGTTGGATGAACTACTGTAGTAAAAACAGAAATTGCAGGCAGAGAATGGCATGCAAGAAATATGAAAAGAGTAAGACTCAATTGTTACTTGAATGTATATACCTAAGTTTTCTTGTGAGGCTTGATCCAAAGAATGACTCCCTACTAAACATGACATTACTGTAAAGTGAAGAAAAGTTGTTAAGATGAGACGTTAATGATTACCCATGAAAAGCTCTATGAAAAAGAATGGGAACAGCCTTTCATTTGCAGTTAATGTAGTGTGCAGATCAGAGTGGCTTTCTTCCCCTTCCTGTTTGGGCAGATGCATTAAGAAGAAATGCTGACAATGCAATTTTCCACCTTGCAAAGTATGATTTTATTTTTGTCATGCTATTACTACTGACAATACAAAAATGCACTGCATTCTATGCATTCTTTCATACTCACATACTAGGAAGGATTAGTACCAATTCTGTTACTTAAAAAGATCAAATCAACTTTCCAAAAGCAGAGAAACGTTTATCTTGTAGCGACAAGGAAACAGGGATAAATTGCTTTTCTGCAATCACATAATAATAGATCTAGGAACAAACATCCTCTCCTGATGTCTAGTTCTACAGCTGGACAATGCTAATTAGGAGCAAGACCCTAGGAGAAATTTCAAAATCCTTCACTAAAGTGCCTGTACATAACAAGTGTCAAAGATTCGACACTAGTCAACATCTGCAGAACAGCTGCCAACAACGGCACTGAAAAATCAGGCCCACATGTAGACATAAAAAGTTGGTTCAAAATAAACAATACGTCTATCAAGCAAAGGCCCACTTTAAATGTAGGTCAGGCACCCAAGCATTTGCTGAAAGATTTGCTGTATTTCGGTAGAAATGAGCATTAATAGATGTTTCTCATAAATCTGCCTTCTTGGGAGACAAACAGAAGAAAAGGCTTTGCAATACATGCAAAGCGAACTCCCCACCAGTGAGCAAGGAACAGCACAGCCCCATTTCCTCCTGGTTTGGGTGACTCTACAGGGCATGTAGGGATAATGCTGTTCTTAACAGAACAGCATCATGTGTACCACTTCCCTTCACTTCACTGAGCCCTTACAGGGCTCAGTCTGCTGTCTAGCTCGAGGGTAGTCCAATCATATCTCACATCTTCACAGTTTAGTTTAAAGGGAGTTTCAATAAAGCCTTGGGCTTCTGCCATACTTTAACAGGCTTTCTACTATCACAAGCCCTTCCCTGCAGCCTTGCTTTGGGATTCAACTTCTGAAACGGACTCTTCCACTTGTCTCCCCTGTGTTTTTACCAGATAGTCTAAGAACAAGGAGCTGCATCTAGCTGTGACTTTGTCATGATGCCAGCTCCTGCTTCCAAGGAGGTATCCTAGAAGGATCTGTCACAAGAGTTCGACTCTACTGCTGCAGAGTTCCTAAAGAGCTTTCACATCACAGAATAGAAACCCTGCCACTTAAAGCATTACCCACCCTCAAATTTTCACACAGCCAGGCCTCATTTTTAGTTGATTAACTAGTTAAATTTTCTGACTCTTCTGGGAAAGCTTTGGACCAATTCTTCTCTGTCCTTTATCAACCACTGTTCAGACAATGCAGTTTATTACTACAATTTTCCCATTAAGTACTTAACTGATGCAAGAATCTGGACACTGAGTGCACTTATAGGCTGTTCTTTCCACTAGGACTGCATTCCCTTATTGCTCATTTATTTCAGTACAACCTTAAACACAAGCTGCAGTGGAGTACAAGTAATACTTTCTATACTAAACCACTGTAGGAGGAAGAGGATTTGTTTTTTTTTAATTATCTGGTCTGTAAATAAGAGTTTTATGAGAGATAGGAGGTGGGACTGTCAAAACAACCAGATTTTATGGCTCAGTCCCATGTCTACTGAAGTCAGTGAATGCTCCCATAAGTACCATCATTTTTCTGTCTACCTGGAGGGTTTCCAATCCCTCTTATTGAATTCTTATTTCCATAAACATATTCCTGCTAACAGGAAGGCTCCAATGTAGGTTTACTGATTATTTTGTTGAGGTTATCACATATGTAACAACATAAAAGCAAGATATATTCAGCTAGAATGAGGGGCCTTGGGATTACAGTTTTGAAGATTTTGAGCTGTGAGTCATACTTTTCAGTTTTCAATCCAGTGCATCAACATAAAATGACTTCTTCTACTGGCCTGAAAGATACAGTAACTCACAAGCTACTGCATGAACTGTTCTGTCACTGCAGGTGCAGGAGCTTCTCTAGGGGGGCTGTGACAGTCAGCAAACTGCAGCAATCATTCACTTGCCTAATTTTAATCTGCTGCTGCATCTCAGTCAGAACGCACTTTGGCTCAAGGTATGCAGTTAAATACTCAGAAGGATTTCAGCTCCAAAGCTCTCTCCTACGTATTAAAGGCCAGATGGCTAAAATCTCCAGATATCTACATTAATATAACTGAACTTGCTCATGAATGTTTAGCCTGGACATTGTCATCGACCTATAGTATTTAAGGTTCATGAGGGTTCACAAACTAGGTAACTCCTGTCCAGACAGTCTTTGAAAAGGATCAGGTTAGCTCGTGGTGATGGTGGCAGGAAGGGCAAGTCATCTTTTCCCAATAATTCAGCACTACAGAACTTGCCTGTACCATAAGAAAACTTGAGATAAGATTTTCTTTTCTGTTAAAAGAGGTTTGAACCCCAAAAAATCATAGGAGAACAGCAAGTGTGAATCTGTTGGTTTTCTTCAGCTTCCTTTATTACGCAGTTTTGAATCTGCAACTTAGCTGCAGGGGTTTATAAATACATCATTTCCATTTGAGACCTTACAGGTTGGCTGGTAATGACTGCTCTGCTGTAGTCTTCAGTGACTGACCAGTATTAGGACCAATGATTCCTTCATTCTCTTTGGTTGTAAATTCCCCAGAATGACCAGGAGCTTTCCCATTTGTTTCAGCAGGGGTGGGATGGAGGCCTCAAAACTACGTAAGTTTTTTAGTACTGCCAGAGAGACTGACTATCCTGCTGATCCATCTTAGCCCTTCATCTTAGTGTTTATCACCAAGAAATCTTTGGACATGGTGAATTGCTACAGACTTGATCCCTTACACATCAACATTGCTCTGTGCAGGACCATTGACCAGTAACATGAAACAGAACTTTAAATTCACCCCAGAACAATGTGGACACTAAACCCTGACTTTATGGCATGGATCAGGAGAAATCTAGATCACAATTAGTTATGACAAACAATAAAGCTGTTTACAGACAATTAACAAGCAACACTGCATTTGTACAATTAACATTTTGGCTGTATTACTAAATTGGAAAAAAAGCAAGCAATTAGGAAATGGATTGGTTAATCATTTTTAATGACTACCTGTGGTGTTAGTAGCATGTTTTGGTTAATAGCTCATGAATCCACAAAGAACCATTTAACCTGCATCCTCCAGAAACTGCATTAAAACAAGGCTATAATAATGGCAGCTACATACCTGGCAGTACCATCCAATTGCTCTTTCCTTTTGTAGAAGAGAGGAAGCATTACAAGAAATCAAAGAGAGAAGAATTACGTAATAAATTCAGCAGACTTTTTAAAAAAGAAATGGCTAATCTTTTGCTAATTGCTTATATCTCTTTTGTTCTGCGACCATAACTGACAGCAGAATAAAAGCTACATTTTCAACTAGCCATAAAGCAAAGTGAGATAGGTTTCTGAAACCAATCTGTGCTGCTTAGACTAGCAATCTAGTCTTTGGTGAGAAATGAACTCCCTTGCCCTCTCTCCCAGGACCTTACTTGCAAAACACCTATTAAATTTCAGGTCACATTTGAATCACAGAAGAACCTACATACAATGAACAAGCCTGAAGTCACAGTAATGAGTCTAGACTCCAGGAGAGCCTGGGAATTATTCTCTGAACAAAACCTGAGGTCAAGAAACCCTTGAGAAATGATTTTATAATGGATAATATTGGAATGGATAGAGAGTGAGAAGGGATAAAGAAAAGGAAAGAAATGTATCAAGACTTAATTAAACACTTGTGGTGTTTTTTCCTAGGGATTTCCTTTTTGATATGTGTGAAATCAATCCTAAAGAAATACATTATGAATAAAACAAATAAAGAGTTAGCATTTGTAATTTGCCCTTTGTGAAGGCAACAAAGTGAGCACAACTTACATGTGGAGACCTCTGAGCTGAGCAGTAGTCTAAGGGCTCTTTTTATTCAGAATGAGGCACAACAGTAAGTCCAGAATGAAAGTTTAAAGCACAAACTTGGATAAGTAATGTCCATTATTAGCAGCTGATCATCTATAGCTAAAGGTCTTGGCTTTCACAGGGCCAAAATTTTAAAATGTTAAGACCTTAAGGCGAGGAAGGCTTTACACTGCTTTACACTGAACTCAGAAATAGTGATGAAAATAAAACCATGACCTCAACTCCCTCAAAACGTTGTCTTGTGAACCTTCAGTTAATAGTTTCAACGATAGACAGTTTTAAACATGCTTTGGTGTCCTCCACTGAATTATCTCCTTGAGCAATAGGTATCACCAAAACCCAAGCTTTTAACAAGCATTAATTATGTTCACATGCCATGGCCAGTTCTGTGAACAACACAATCCTCAGGCCAGTTGAGTTAAACAGAGAAATGTAAGAATTTTCAGCATAGCCTATATCTTAAAATATACAATCACATCATAGATGGTGTGAGAAGTACAGATGCCTGTGAAATCCAGGGCTAAAACTTTATCAGGATCAAAATTATAGAAGGAGAATTTGAAATTTCCAGGGCAATAAACTCCAGAGTCTTACAAAGGGAAGCTGATGGTGAGGCAGCCTTCTCCTTTGTTTAATGCCAACATGAGAGCCACTGATGGAGTCATCCATGTGCCACTAGGTGATGGGAGAAGAAATGGATCCAGAAGCCAAAAAAGTATGCTTTTCACTCTCACCCAGGAAGTAATCTGGCAAGTCTCTGTTACTTAAAAAAGCCTCATTGATATATATGAATTCTGCGTGTCCTATCCTGACTTACACTTCAGAGAAAACGATGATGGAGATGTGGACAATATACTTACCTGAAAAACGGAAATGACACAATTGATTCATAAAACCTCCAGGTAGCAACTAGATCAATCCTGTTGGGGTTAGTAGCATAATATCTCCAGGCAGCCTGAATGACAAGGGAGAGGAAATAATTAGTGTTAGGTAAAGCTACTGCCCAGGCCGACAGCAGCCAGATTGTTTCAAAGGACATAACGATGCACCTGAGTGACTATCTAGAAATTAATTACTAATCAGCAGTAACAAATAAGTGTCACTATATGGTCAAATTATTGACACCGAATTATGATCTAGGAGGACTGTTAAAAGAGACAGGACATGAGAGAGAACCACTAACATCAAAAGACATTACATTTGACTAAACTGGTTTTGTTCTCCTCTCTTTTTTTATGCCTAAAAGAGCTTCAAGTACTGCTGGACCTGGACAATATTTCTGGGAGTGCTTAAGCTGGTTTACTATCTAATATACCATCAGAGGAAATTTTGCTGAGCAATTTTCTATTTCAGCATTTAGCTCCAATTAAAATTCTCTAAGCACATACCTAAAAAATACTGTAGCTAAATTAGCTACCTACTAAGTGGGAATGTTTTAAATTAGAAGGTGAATTCAATTCACGGCTCATCCCTGCAGCCCCTTCTGTTTGCTAAGGAGTGTTTTTAATGAGAACAGCATAATACACCACTCAGTCTGTTTCTCCTGAGGACTGGTTTGATCCCGAGCAGCCCTGAGCACCAATGTTTCCATCCATCTGTTATCATAGAAACTTTTTCTGTCCCTCTGTGGAAATCATAGAATCACAGAATGTTTTGGGTTGGAAGGGACCTTAAACATCATCTAGTTCTAAGCCCCCTGCCATGTGCCCAGTGATATCTTCCAGGAGGTCATGATCTCCTAGGTCAACTGCCTGATCAATTCAGGGCTATCCAAAAGTTAAAGCATGTTGTTAAGGGCATTAGCCAAATGCTTGTTAAACACTGACAGGCTTGGGGTATCGACCACGTCTCCAAGTTCCAGTGTTTGATCATCCTCTCAGTAAAGAAATGCTTCCGAATCGTAGAATCATACAATGGTTTGGGTTGGAAAAGACCTTTAAAGGTCATCTAGTTCAAGTTCCCTGCCTAGGTAGTGACAGCTTCCACTAGATCAGGTTGTTCAAAGCCTCATCCAACCTGGCCTTGAACACTTCCAGGGATGGGGCATCCACAACTTCTCTGCGCAACCTTTTCCAGTGTTTCACCACCCTCATTGTAAAAATTCTCTTCCTTATTTCTTTATCAGTTTAAAGCCATTACCCTTTGTCCTACCGCTACATGCCCTTGTAAAAAGCCCCTCTCCAGCTTTCCTGTAGGCCCCCTTTAAGTACTGGAAAGCTGCAATAAGATCACCCCGGAGCCTTCTCTTCTCCAGGCTGAACAGCCCCAACTCTCTCAGCCTGTCTTCATAGGAGAGGTACTCCAGGCCTCAGATCATCTTCGTAGCCCTCCTTTGGACTCGCTCCAACAGCTCCATGTCTTTCTTATGTTTTAATAGATTTAAATAGATTTAATTCTATCAGGACTTTAGCTTTTCTAACCTGATCCCTGGCTGCTCGGACAATTTCTCTATATTCCTCTCAGGCCACCTGTCCTTACTTCCATCCTCTGTAGGCTTCCTTTTTGTGTCTGAGTTGGTCCAGGAGCTCCTTGTTCATCCATGTAGGCCTCCTGACGTTTCTACTTGACTTCCTCTTTGTTGGGATGGTTCGCTTCTGAGCTTGGAGAAGGTGATCCTTGAATATTAACCAGCTTTCTCGGGCCACCCTTCCTTCCAGGGCTTTATTCCATAGTACTGTAACAAGCAGCACCCTGAAGAGGCCAAAGTCTTTTCTCCTGAAGCCAAGGGTAGTGAGCTTACTGTGCACTCTCCTTGCTGCCCTAAGGATCTTGAACTTTACGCTGCCATTTACTTCACTGCCATCAGTGTGCTCCACACCTAGTAAGAGTAACTCCTGTGAAATTTGTCAGCTCCTAAACTGGTAATTTTAAGCTTAATTTTCTACATTTTTAACAAAGGTCGTAACTGAAGTCCAAATGAGCTAAAGGAGTCTCTTCCTATTGAATCCTCTTATTGTCCAGTGACATAACAGAAGATCCAGAGTGTGTTTCAGGTTTTTCAAAGCACTCATACTATTTAAGTCATTTGCCTTGATTGAAACAGTCACTGTCTATTGTGTTACTTATGTTGTTGTTTTTACATCAATAACAACATAACTTTGTTTGCACAGAAAAGGACTCTTTCAAGGGAACTTACAAAACCTGAATTTTGGAAAGAGTATGTTTTCGACAGCTTGTTTTCTGTGATTTTGTGGCACTGATGCAGAAGTTGCTTGGTTTCCAGAATCTAGCAGATGAGACCCTTTCTTCTAAAGACATTGTTCTTCTGGAAGATATCCTGGGAATTAAAAGATTCCTCAAAAACTGCAAGGACCACTGGATTATCTAGCTCAATGTGAAAAAAAATTACTCCTTCACAAACACAGCTTCTCCCCTCTTGCAGCAGGAAATAAGAATTTGGTCAGGGGGGAAGTGATGGCCCTTGTTAAGAAGATGCAGCAGTCTTAATACACAACACTTCTCAAGGAGGGGATAAATGACTGCAAACCTGAATGAGTTCAGCTGCTGGCTTTCTTCTTTTCTCAAAATGTTTTTGACGATGTTGCTCCTGGACCTTCAGTGCCAGCCCTGAGCCCAAAATGCCCTGAAAGTAGAGAGTGAGGCAAGATTTTAGACATTTCTTACTCAGAGAAAATGGATCAATAATGAGAGGAAACAAGTCTCTAGGTGGAGATGGATATGGCTACGTAGGATCTTTGTGCAGTACAGCATGCCTTTCCCACTGCTCCACTTGTGAGACATGAGGTTGTCATGATCACCTCAAGGACCACAGGCCACACCAAATCATTTTAAGCCCTCAACAGGATTCTTGAATGCCTACTGCCTTTCCAAGCTGGAGGTGTCCAGGTGTATTACTTTCCACACCGGGTAGAGCAAAACTGCTTGTGTGATAAAAGAGCTATGCTAATCATACTCTGGATTTGGGTGTGTGGGACTTCCCATCCTCTGTGAAATTATTTCCAAGTCTCCATCTAAAGGAAAAATATCCTAAAATCTGGACTTAGGATGGTTTTTATTGCTATTTGGCCCATCTCCCCCAGACCTTGTCTCATTCTTATCTGAGAACTTTGCAGATAAGGTAAATATTTGGCCCATGTAATATTAGAGAACAAATATACTTTCAAAAGCAATTTAGAGATCATTTCTTAAGCAGTCAGAGTAGAATTCACCTGACTAGATGAAAAATACCTGTACTGTCACCTGGTATCTAAATTCCCTTTAACCTTAGTGGGTAAGAACAGCACTTCATGGTGGTGTCAGAAATCTCCTCTAGGAAAGAAGGGAAACAGGTGAGATGAAATGTTCTGCAGAGCTGCACTGGTTATAAAGGATGACCACTGGTCTGTGATGATCATTCAAATGCAGATCTCTAGCTTGCAAGTGTTTAAAGCTGGGTAAGATGAGCCCAGTCCTAATTATCAAAACAATGGCCTCCAAATCCTTTAAAAATGAACCTGCACCAGGCTACAGGGTCATGAACTGCCTTAGATTTCTTAGACTGTTCACTTGCTGGATTAATTTTGTCCTGTGCCAACTAGCACTATCTATCTCAGAAAATACTCACACATGGTTCAAGGATGTATTATTCCCAGTAGGCTCTATTCAAAGTTGGGAAGAAAGGAGTTTGATTTACTGATACACACCAGCTCAAGTGTCTGAATACTTCTTAAAAAGGAATTTTGATTCTATTGGCAGTTTTGGTCACTTTAAGTTCTTTTTGTAAGCACACAGTGCTGGGCTGTGCCTAACAGAGGAGGGGGAAGGTACTTACTGCAGGAAGAGCAAAGAAAGACACTCCAATGAGAGAGAATGTAGCTGCAATCAGCCGTCCCTCCCATGTTTTGGGGGTCTTGTCGCCATATCCAATCGTAGCGAGGGTGATCTGTAGACAGAATGGCCAGGACTTCCCATAAGAAAAACAAAGTCAACAGCTCTGCTTTAAATGTCACAATGAAACCTGCATAACTCACTTAGCTCTATGGGTGCTCATGCACAGCTTCTTAAAATAAGATTTTGACAATGGGGCAACCAATTTTTTTTAATGATATCACAGCTCAGAGGCATTGCACCAGGGAGAATGGATTCAGTCTTAAAAGTAGCTGCCTCTCTAGGACGTATTTGCTGAAAGGGAGCTCCATGTGACACTTCATGCAGAGTGAGCCTCCTGCCCACCATCAGCACAGTCAGGAAAGGGACTCCAGTTAACAGTTTGTAGAGTTTTAACAAGCAATCAGGGCTACCTCCCCCTGAAGCCTTAGTCTCTCTAAAACAAAGATGACTTTGTGAAAACTTACTCCTTTCCTGCACAATTGCTAATTTCCAGCTGTGTACCTTTTCTCATCAGTGAGTCTCTACCTAAATGTCTTGGATATGTAAAGATATGAAAATATCCAGGTGTTCTGTGAAACACTCAGGACATTTTGATTAATAATGGTGCGGAAGCATCTTGCCATTTACGAATGAATGGCATTAAATAAAAAATATGCTGCTGAATTTTAGTCACAGTATGATATAGACTCCCCTAACTATTGGCAGCAGGCAAGATAAATTCTGTCTACCAGATGGCAGGAATATTTTGTGATCAAATGAGCAATGGCACAAACCAATATTCCTCTCTTCATCCGAAGAGACAAGAACATATGTATCAAAGGTGTCTCTTGCTCAGCATTCTACCACCAGTGGCGTTGCCAGAGTGATTCTTGGGGAATCCATGAAAGACAAGAGAAGTGTTGAGTTATCTTTTCCAGAGACATCTTTGACTTGTTAAATGTCATACCATTAAGCATTGCCCAACGCACCAATCTATCTAGATCCATCTGCAAGGCCTCTTGTCCCTCAAGAGAGTCAACAGCACCTCCCAGTTTGTCCAGCTCTGGTTTTGCCATTTAGCTCTCACAGACAAGATAGTGTTGTCATGAAAGCCAGGTGTCCTATAGGCATAGGCTTTTCCAGTGCAGTTATACCCAAAGAGACACTCCTCTAAAAGAGAGGTTTTCCAGAAGTCAGCAGCACAGACTGAGTTCTGAAAGGGCTTTAAGCACCTAAGGGCCTTTTTCTGACTGAAAATCCACAGGGATATAAGTTCCATTAATTGGTTGTAGGGCCATCCCTACTTTGGTAATGTTATACCAGTAACACTCCCCTCAGCCAAATTTAGCAGCACTTATACTGTAATCCCTAAAATCAACACTTTATCTCTTCTTGGATATAAAGTTTTTAAGAATGGGATAACGTATTTTTGGAGTGACTTACCAGCCCCCACCACAGTGCATCTGCATAGGTTTCAAACTCTTCCTTCATCTCCACCCCATTAGCATCCTTTTCAGGAACATCTTTTTCAACCAGATAAACAAGAAATGAGGACAGGATGAGCGTCAGGAACCCGATGTACCAAGCAGTGATGAGTTCCTGCAAAAGAAACAGATGGACAATAGAGGAGCTGAAAACAGTCTCAATGCCCATAGTGGCAGAGTAAACATCATGAGAAGAGAGAAGCCCTGAGGATAGCAGCAGAGATATCACTGCTGGCTTGGGCACAGTCCACGGCCAGCCTCAGCACTTAATGGGGAATAATGCAGAGATTTACAAGAATTAGCCCTTACATGGCATCTTCCTAGGGAACAGCTTGGAGCGATCTGCAGTTGCAGTGTTGCATAAAGCTGGGTTAAGGACTTAGGGCACACATGACACAGGGTGCTGCAGGGCTCTGTTCCTGACCTTGTCTCTCTCCATTTCTGCTGCCCTTTAGGCTTTGTCAGTCTTGGCAGGCAAATCAACAGCTCTGCCCGCTCCCTACCTCCAGACAGCCAAGGCTCCAGGATGCAGTTTCTTCTCTTTAGACATACCAAAGCAGGTTCTGAGGTATGATTTCACCATGAATTGATGCAACAAGAATAGACCTTGAAAATTGTCTCTGTGAAAATAAACTTGCACTTCCTTGGTTTAGAGAGAGTGAGGGAGTGACTACAGTGGAATGTGTGGCTAATCCCACTGAGGTGGAAGATGCAGTAACCCAGATTCATATCCCAGCAATGTCTGAAACAAAGCAGAAACCTTTTTGATGAAGGTTTTCACAAGTGAACAAAAATTACTATGCCTTTGCAAAAAAAAAAAAAAAAAAGAGGGTTAGCCTGAGAATTTGATACTTGAGTCTTGAGATAGGTCAACTCTCTTGGCTGATTTCTGATGTGCAACCACAGAAGGAAATTTGTTGGCTAACCTTGTTAACAAAATTTTTTCTTTAGTATCTCCAATGAATAAAAGTTCTTGCAACCCATTCTTATCTTCCACAGCCAGCTGAGGTCCAAAGGGTGGTCATTGGGAAAAAAGGAACATTTGAATGAAATCCCTCACAATGAAGCCTTAAACAATTTCTAAACAATCTATTTGGCACATATACTTCTTCCACAATCTTGGTTTCCTGAGAAACATTTTTGACATAAGTGTTTATGTGCCACCTGCCTTGTACCAAGTTTATATGGGGAAGAAACAGAAGTTGGTGTGAAATGAAGCAGGGCGGGTATCCCTATCAACCACTACAAAGAAGCAAAGTCTAATTATGCTGTGCCAGCTGGCATTTTAATCTTCAAAAACCCCTAAAATGTCAGGAATGTCATTCATGGATAAGAAAAAGCAGTATGTGGCACAGAGTACACTTAATTTTCTACACTCTGTGCAGACGAGAAATCTCATCTAGAGGATTTTTATGCAGATAGTTTTTAACTTGTAATAATGTTTGGTGAAAATGCAAGTATCTGTCTGGTGTGAGACAGGATGTGCCTGACTATAGCATCAAGCTAGACTGAGCAAAGATGATTTTAGAAATTTTGTCTGTTTGGGTTCACACTGTGTGCATCTTTGGATTGTCTGACCCATGCTTCCAAAGAGAATTTATACCACTAGCTCCCTCTGAAACCACATTTCTGCTAACCATCATCTTTCCATCCCTCTGGAGTCCTGCTCCATCTGTTGATCAGACAAGTCTGAGAAGTCACTACAAACATGTTGCAACTACAGAGGCGTTTCTGTCAAAGATTTCAACATATTGCACCACTAAAGGGAAGTCCCTGCTCTCATTCAGTGTAAAGGCTCCTCACTTACTTTGCTATGTGCACAAATGGCCGATCCCAAAAGTTTCCATGTGCCGCCCCGCCTGTCCATTCGGAGCATCCGTAGGATCTGAAGGAAGCGGAGGCTTCTGAGAGATGTGGCCAGAACATTGCCCTGGTTCCCAACAGCAACCACCGGCACTGAAGCAATCAGCACAAAGATATCTGCAAGGCGAAAAGAACAAAGCCTGCCAACAAAAGTGGCCTGATCACCTGCTTCTTAATCCCATCTGGTTGTGCTGCAAATTTCCCTAGGCAACTTTTAAAGCTGCCTGAAAACGCCTTCACTTGCCAATTAAACAGATATCTGCACCTGCCACACAGTTGGCATCATGCACAGAACCCACCACAAAGTCTCGTAATCTGTTTACAGATCAATGCACTGGACTTGAGACACCGCCTGAGTGTCACTGGCTAAGTAATGCACAGAAACAGTGTCGTCCTAATGCTGACAGAAGAACAACCTGAAATTCACGTGTCCCACAGGAACATCATAGTGAACAGGTCAGTAGATAAGAAATCCAGATTTTGATGGTACTTCTAGCATTTTGTTCTTTTGTCTGAGTTTTCCTACTAAAATCTTAAAGCCAGTGCTACTATTTTTTGTAATTGCTCACAAGGCCAATTTGTTGATCAACTGAAAAGGTTTGAAATGTAAATCATGTCACTTCTTCTTGTTTTATTTTTTTTCTTTTCTTTGTTTCCCCCCCTGCTTTTTGATCCTATATATATACAAGAAAAAAGTGGTACCAAACCACTTCAAACATTCTGTGGGTACTCAGTCTTGTCTTCATGTTGTATTTCCAGCCAAAAAGAGTGGCACCAGATGGATTTCAGACTTATTCACTTTCAACCATTCTCAAAATAAACTCAGTCCAGTGACAACCAAGAGATTATATTAATAAATACAGTGGGATCTTTCTATTCTTTAACCAGACATCAGTGAAGATTCATTCTCAGAAGTGAGATGACACTTTTACTGACAAGGCATGAGACAGTGTCAATCCCACTTGCTCACACTGTGCTCTACCGTCTTCACAACGCTATTAGAAGTATGAGGAGTACTTATACAACAGGAACACCCAAAGGAGTGCTACCTAATTGAAGATAGCACAGATGCACAAAGAAAATTTTTTTTCCAATTTTGTCTACCATTTAGACCCACAAGATGAACAAAAGGAGGGAGAGGGAAGAGAACAGCATGTATTCATATAACTGCAGCACCTCGGCTCCCCAGAGTGCCATGTGCTGTAGAAATAAGGAACAACAAGCTACTGCTTGGAATGAAGAGCATCGAAACAAATGAGGGAGTCCTGGAAACAGCGAAGGGATGTGGATGTGCATGACAGGTGCTCAAGGCAGAGTGAGCTCCTAAATGTTGGCTGGTTGGTTTTGGACATAACAAGGAGGTTTAGGAGGGGAGTCAAACATGAATAATGAGTAGTTTTATGGATAGTATAGGCAGTGCTTTCCAAGCCTGAAAGATAACATGGGTGAAATCACAAAGATTGCAAATGTCGACCAACATTACGAAGTTAAAACACAACATTTGACTACGAAAGAGGGCTGGCGAAGATGGTATAGGGCTGGGATCTGAAGTTCTTGGAAACTGAAGGCAGGCAGGATATATCTGAGGATGAGATTAAGAAAAACACAGTGGGACTGAGGACAAGGAGAACATGTTTGAAGGGTAGAAGGATCCATTTTTTTCTCATTGACCAGCGACCTAAGTGTCTCTCAAATGAATCATTATTACTGGGTACTTCAAATAACTACTCCAAGCAGGACAGCTGCTAGCACAAAGGGCAGATCTGATTTCAGCGCTCTTTGCACTGCCATTTGCTAGTTCTTGGATATCCCCCCAAACTGGCTCAGAAGGAAAAGGACATAACAGGGAAAACAGTAGTAGAAAGCACGTGCCTACCTAGCATACACAAAGGCTTCCTGGCAAATTTGAGTCTCCCCCTCCATCCTTTGTAGCGACAGCAACACCCAGCAGCCCAGATTCTTAAGGCAAACTCTGCTCCAAAGATGAAAATGGCAAAAGTTTCCTGTATCAAAGACACAAACTACATTGTTAGACTTATAATAGTTTTTTCAGTAGTTCTGGACACAAGCATACAGCTGAAAGAAACAGATGACGTGTAAGTGTTGGAGTATGTGTGTGAGTGAGAGAGAGGAAAAAAAAAGTGGGGAGGAGAATATAGATTGATGAAAGAGGTAAGGCAAAGTGGGACACAGCCTTACAGACTGCTCTGCAGAAAGGATGTGCCCCTGCTGTTGGGTAAACGTGAAGTGCTTACCCTGCCTTGATGGAAGGGCAATTACTTCACAGAAAGACCTCCCGTTTCACACTAAATGAGAAGACATATGTGAGTGGTGACTGCAAAGTGCCCAGTGCACTGGATACCCACACCCAGGGTTACCCACCTGCAGCTTGTGTGTGCAGCCATATCTAGAGAGACAGGGACAGGATACAGTGTATTCATATGGCCACATTTAAGGCAATGATTAAGGCATATATAAAACAAATTTAAGGCATGTATTATTGCCCTAAATTTCTGGGGCACTGAGGAATGGAATTTTCCACTATGCTTAAGAGCTCTTTTAAGCATGGGGAGGGAAAGGGGAGGAGAGAGCCTTTCCAAGGTTCTCAGTGGACATGAGCCAAGGGCAGCACGGAGCACATAGTTACTTTTCCTCTCTGCGAATAGATGACAAGGAGGAAAGGGAGATTTTTCCTGACACTTACAACCACAGCTGCTAGGTACTTCTGAAAACTGCTGAGAGTCACACAAAAGCAAGCACAGGAGAAGGAAAAATAACCTCAGGCTTTTTCAAATGTGAAAAGACGGATCTAAGCAGGGTAACAGGGACCAAAAGCAAGTTTCACATTCTCTAGGGGATGAGGGTGTTTTTATACAGGCACTTTTTGAGAAAGAACATGCAAGGGGAATTCACCTTTCATTGCTTTTGGCACTTAGCTCTTGCTTGGATCTACATGTCTCTGGGGGTAGAAGGGGAAATGGAAGTCAAGATCCCAGAACTACTCTTGCCATGCAGTTTCCTTAGGGATGCTTTTGTACAAGGCTGGGTTAAATGAGAGATTGCATTCTCTATTTCATGACAGCTATGGGAGCAGAGGAAGTTCTTTGTTATGGTCATTTTCATAAAATGATGAATATGTAATGTTTAGACTTAGTGAAGGGTTTTTTTCCTATTTTTTTCTTCTTCTGCAAAATGGGAGGCCTACAGAAATACAGTCTTGAGCATCAACTCCAGCATTTATAAAACGAACATGTTGATAACACAGAGAATCATAGAATCATAGAATGGCATAGGCTGGAAGGGACCTTAGAGATCATCTAATCCAACCTCCCTGTCATGGGCAGGGACGCCTCTCAACTAGATCAGGCTACTCAAGGCTCTGTCCAACTTGGCCTTGAACACCTCCAGGGAGGGGGCATCCACAACTTCTCTGGGCAATTTATTCCAAAGTCTTACCATCCACGTACTGAAGAATTTCTTCCTAAGATCTAATCTAAATCTGTTCTCCTTCAACTTAAACTCCTTGTCCTATCAGTGGACTCTCTTGTAAAAAGTCCCTCCTCAGCCTTCCTGTAGGTTCCCTTCAGGTATTGGAAGGCAGCTGAAAGGAACACATTTGTTGCAAATACATTTTCTCTCAGGGATAGTCATCAGAGGCACTGCTTGCAACAATTTTGGATATGCTACTATTGGCAACAAGCATGAGTTCAATTCTGATGACATCCCTTGAAAGAAATACTGGGATTGATAGAATCCCCCCAAAATGAGTTTTCAAATATGTTCAGGTCTGGTGTGATCAATAGGAAATGTATTGATACTTTGATGGAATAACTGTTAAGCAAATGCTGAAAAGCCATTATTGAAAAGTCTCAGGCTAGTATTTTTCCCCTCTCCTTACTTTCTGTTTACTCAGGGTTGACAATAGGCTGGGAAATCTCCAATATGTAAGCATACAGTCACTGCTCCAGGACCAACAGAAGAAATCTTACTGCATGCAGAGCCAGGAGTAAGTTTCTATCACTGCTGATGAGGCCGATTTCAATTCAAGGACATTACCAGGGTGATGCAGCAGCCAATCTGCTTACCAGCAAGAGAAGCCAGTCTCCTGAAACAGTTTCATACTCCTTGAAAGTGGTCAGGACAGCTAAGATCAAACACCCCAAGACAATCAGAAATCTGGAATGAAATAAAAAGAAAATCCACAGCATTGTTATCCCTTTCTGCATTTGCATTGGAGATACTGCCTATAAAAACCTGGATGGAGACCTTCAGGGGATAGCTACTTCCCATCGATGAGAATTTAGGTGGGCTCTCATAAAGATCAAGGGTTCTCGACCTGGACAGGGTGGGCCTGGCAGTCACGAAATCATGGCAAAACCCTAAATCAGAATGGTTCTGGGGCAGATATGCATTAACTTGATTGCATTCCTCTGGAAGGAATTGGGTGATACTTTATTTTGGGAAGGGATTGTATGGTATGGCAGAGGACTGTAACGCTCAGGAGGTCTATTCCAACCCGATGTGCTGTGTGCTTCACAAAATGGCACTGCAGTTGCAGCAGAATAAATCTACTTGGCACATCTTAAGACTGAGAAACAGTAAAACACTTTAATACAATGCAACACCAGGACAAACCCTCCCTTGAAAACGACATTGCATTTCTTTCTTTCATTCCCTTTTTGCACTCATTTCTATGTCGATGAAAAGACAAAAAGGTTTGCAAGAGAAACAACAGAGAGGGTAAAGTTCTGCTCTCCAATAAACGCAGTGCGTGATAAATCACTACCCTGTGCTATTGTCTGTCTGCGAGACTCCAGAACACAAAGATTTGACAGAAAATTTAACTCCCACTGCTGGTAAAGGCAACTCAGTCCAATCTAAAGTCACGTTGATTTGCTTTGAAAAACTATTCCCAGGTTCAAGCTATTCAGAATCTCTTATACATAAAGAGGTGAGAAAAATCAAGGGAGTCGCGTAAGTGATTACTGTGAAGCACAGTGGGGGAAGCTTCTACTACTTCATGTACCCAGATCATGGGCATTTTAATGTGCTCCAAAAACCTGCTCCACAGGAACAAAGGGGCAGGTGACCATGGAAATATTTCAGAGCTTAGTGAATGCGTTCGAAGGACATCTCCATAAAAGCTCTGGATCCCTTGCTTTCATAGCTAGGGTACATCAAAGAAATGGCAGGCATCAGGTATTGATATCACCCAGGGAAAAAAGCTTGTTCAGACACACAGAATCACAGAATGTCAGGGATTGGAAGGGACCTCAAAGGATCATCTAGTCCAATCCCCCTGCCTGAGCAGGAAACTGTGTTTAGTGTGTACTACCTGGTTTGAATTTCAATCTGATACCTGAAGTGCGATGTCATTTCTTACTGAATAAAACACCAGTTTGTTTCACTGGGTGAAACGAGCAGCATTCACAGCCTGCAGTGTGGATACAGCGAGCAAGGACCATGGCGAAGGGGCTCAGCTCAGAGACACATGTTCTCTAACCTGTCTTGGGGTTTTGTTTCCTTCACGTATGGGGAAACCTAGGGCTAAGGGAGTGTGTTCTGAGAATTTGTAATGTTCTTGCTGCTGGAGTAAAAGGAGAGAGGTGAGCTCCAGATAGCTCCTGCTGCCTTTCAGGAAGGAATTTCCTCCAAATAGCATCAACTAGCACCCTCCATGCAAGGAACAGGAAACAGTGAAACACTTCACAGCAAACCCTGAAGGATTATTTTGCTGTGACTTTCCTAACGTTAGCTATTCAGACTGAAGTTCCCTATGTCAGGAAAATTTCAGATCAGACATTTCAAGCAAGATTAAAACAGAAATAAATGTGTCTGTTCATGCTAAATAATTCTGGATTTCTCTGACAAGTTTCACCTTCTCCCACTCAGCAGCCATGCTCTAGAGTAACGATTATGTGGTTGGTAGGAAACAGCCTTTGGGTCCAAAACATGACTTCTACTGTTTACCTATAACCACACTCTTGCTGCTCAAGTTAGCAAGTTAGTCAAATTAGCAGTTTGGCAGGTAACTGAGCAATTCTGCAATGTTATTGCCATGCCCTCAAGCTTGCTTTGTCACACTACACCTTGCTGTCTCCACCTTGCAATTACAAAGCCAGTGGTTCACTGGCTTCCCAAGACCCAGGATCCAGCTGCCCTGCACTTCCATGAGCAAACTTGTGAGAACTCAATTAAAACAAGGTGATTCCTTTGGTTAGCCCTTTGGTTAGCTATAAACCACCTATGATCTGCCACGCTGCAGCCCTTAGAGTGGTATCGACAATAATGCTCCATTGAGAACAACCTTGAGCTACTACTACTTGATGCTTTCCATTACAGTCATCTCTTTATACCATGTGAGAATTCCATCATCCATCAGCTCCCAGGTATCATTTAAATGATTTAATGAAAGGCAAAACACTAAAAACAGTCCAAGGAAATTACATCATCAGTTACTTAAATGAAAGGCATGAATTTATGATATCATTCAACAGAACAGCACAGTCAATTAAAGGTGACGTGCAGAATTTTGTCCAAGAGGAAGACTGAAGATAAGTCAGTAGTGAAAGCATCTTTTGCCTAAAAATGCCTGCGGTTTTACCACTAGAGGGTATCCGTGCTCCACAGAGCAAGGGCATATGGCGCTCACTCCTGTTTTCCTTCCTCGTGAAAGAGAGTCAGTGCAGGTGACGTTCAGATGATTACACCCATGTATTTCATACGCAAGAAAATAAAAGTCTCACAGCGGTGAAAAGGATTTTCCTTCATCACTAAAAAACCCAAATGTTGACATTAACGGACAAAGAGTATTGTTAGCTTGATTGCTCTGTGCATCGCAGCCTACGCTGCAAGCCCCACTGCTCAAAGTGAGAGCCCTCCCATGAAACCAGCAGCTCATGCAGGACCAAAAAAAGCAAAAACAGGGCGAGAGAGTAGACTGGAGATCACATCTGAGGTCAAATCCAAGCAGGGAACGTCATCTGAACCACATGAATGCAGCCCAGAAGAGAGCCTCAGAGGTGCAACTGCTGAGCAGGACCTGCAGTCCCTAAAACCACAGCCCACAGAGCCAGGCTCCTGCTCCTTCCTGCAGTACTCTGGGGTGTGCAGGGATGACAAGTCTGTGTTGGGACACATAACTGCAGTCCATCTTGCAAGGGTCAGCTATCCTCCTGCTGCACTGTTTCTGAAGGATAAACACCCACTGCAAGCTAATCAAATCACATCTCAGGAATCCTCCCTTAGCATCTGAAGTGACGACCTTGTTCAGAGCATTTACTGGATTTTAATCTCCATTGATGTTATGTGACCCACCAATTTCCCTGCAGCCTCTTCTGCTTCAGATCTCAGTGTTTACAAAGTCTTCAAGTCTTCTTGTGTCCTCTTTCTGTGGAAGATGCTATGCTGGTGTCATGTTTTTTTCATCAACCCCCCTTGCTCAGCAAAGATGATAACAAGGTACATCTTCACCTTGCTGCTTATGCCCATATTGTGGGCGTGTGTACCACCTATGCCCATACTGTGACCTTGGGAACATAAAGACTCTGACTTGATTGACAGTTGCTGAGTCTATATTGTCCTATGGCAACTGGACAATAGCTGAATCTATATTGTCCGATTTCATCTTTTAGAGGCAGCAATATGGGTCCAGTGGTTGAGTCTGATTGCAAAATCTGATGAGGCAAATCACGGGGAAAGAAACTGTTGAAATCACAGGGTACGAGCAGAGGAGAGGCTAACACTGACCTGAGGAATCAAGGGGCAGAGAGGGAGAAAATCTCAAATTTGCACACAGTTGTAACGATATTATCCACGGGACACAGAGCACTAAGGGTGAGAAGAAACAAATAGGATAAAAGTCAAGGTTTAGTAATGAAAAATGAGTCTTATTAAGCCTAAGCTTCTTATTGAACAGTGTTTCTGCAGGTGGCAGTCCAAACTTCAAGACTGCAAATCAGATATGCCAAATGAGGATCTGAATTTTGTTCTTCAGGCTTTAGAATCATTCCTGATATCATTTTGCACATTTTTAACAGCCCATTACATTGTACCTATTTGAAATACCATGCCTAAAATCCTGATTAGTTTGTTGTATGTTTAAGTTCCAGACAACCAAATGGCAATGCTCTTTTGTGACTGTCACAACTAATATGCTACTCTAGTAAATACATGTTATTGTTACTGGAAATCATGTATTTAACACTCATATTTTCTAATCGTACTATTTTGGTGTATTAAAGACAGTATTCCCAAAACAATGCACATTTTTTTCCAGGAAAGAAGTAATTTATGACTATGCTAGGCCATGAATCTAATCATAGAATCATCGAATGGCTTGGGTTGGAAGGGACTTTAATGATCATCTAGTTCCAAACCCCCTTCCATGGGCAGAGACACTTTCCACTAGATCAGGTTGCTTAAAGCTTCATCCAACCTGGCCTTGAACACTTCCAGGGATAAGGCATCCACAACATCTCTGGGCAACCTCTTCTAGTGCTTCACCACCCTCATTGTAAAAAATTTCTTCCTTACATCTAATGCAAATCTAGTCTCTTTCAGTTTAAAGTCATTGTCCCTTGTCCTATCACTATATGCTCTTGTAAAAAGTCACTCTCCGGCTTTCCCGTAGGTCCCCTTTAAGTACTGGAAGCTGCTAGAAGGTCTCCCCAGAGCCTTCTCTTCTCCAGGCTGAATAACTCTTCTCTCAGCCTGTAATGTTTCCTGGATGAACATCATAGACTGTTGTGTTTGATAAATTTTGATTTAATATTTCACATTCTTTAAGTTTTTCTTCTATATCTGCTTTCATTTGAAGTCAATATGATGCAGATCTAGCTGAGAACTTTTATTTTTTTCCCATATACAGGTGCTTATCATGTGTCCTGTTCACCATCTCCTTCTTCAGAATTTTAGGAGCAAATCACATCATATTTTGCCTATAATCTGTTCCAAAACATAGCAGTCCTTTTGAAGCTGTCATGAGGACTAGATACATCACAGGCAGGCCAAACAATATTTACATCTGGCATCATTTTGACAAATTTTTGTGCTGTGTGACAAAATGTTAAGTCTCAATTAGGCTTACAGGTAATAAGAGGAAAGTGTGTTTCAAGTTGTTTTAAAGCAGATGGCTCGGCTGGTCAGGAGCACCTACAGAGACAGTTTCTTCTATGATTCTCAATAACAGTAAGGAAAGGCTCTAGCT